CACCGCAACAGAAAGAAAATAGACTCAAAAGAGCTAAAGAGTTGCTTGGCTTTAGTTTTCTCTGATGAAAAATATTTGTTGTCCAGCCGTTTGTAAACAAACAAATACTTGCCAAAGGTTAGGTCAGGTCAGCTGAAAATGTGCACCTTCGGTTGGCCACCAGAACTCACGCGCCGGCCCTGCCACCATAGCAGCCGATGGTCGCTCTCCACTCGTATTAATCTACAATGGCATCAGAATTAATGCCGTATATTATCGCGAAAATATTCTGGAGGGTGTATTAAAGCCTTGGCCACGCAAACAATTTGATTGCAGACCTAGGACATTCCAACAGGCATGGGCCACCCAAGAATGTTTACAAAATGAGGTTCCTCGCTTCATTTCCAGCGTGCAGTGGCCACAAAAATCTCCGGATACCAATCCATTGAACTATTGTGTCTGGAGTACTTTGGAAAGTAAGGTTGGCACTAAAAAATACCAAAGTGTCGATCACCTACGCCAAAATAATGCAGAGAACCATTTGGGCAGCGTGTGACGGTTTCATTGGCGGTTTGTAGGCCATAATTCGTGCCAAAGGTGACCAATTCGAACAAATCTTAACTTATTCTAAAATTTGATGCTATGTCCGATATTTTTTGCTTTCATTCAATATAATTTAAAAAAATTTAAAAATACAGCTCATTAGATGTAGCTCTCGCATATAACTTCATCCGATTTGACGGTTATTGCAAATTCAACTGTATTTATCCTGAAGCAAATGCGACATTTTTTGACACTTGGTTTTCATATATCTATCCTTTCCTTTTCGAAGTCAAATTATGCTTCATTAGTTGGTACGAGAGATTCAAGTGCCTTCGTAAAATTTGGTGGAATTCGACTAATAGTTGGATACATCCTCCAAATATCTGATTCCAACTGCTCTAAAGCTGTATTACGCATTTAAAAAAGGGTCATAATTGGTACGGCCCACTTTACATAAATTCACAATATTAACGTTTATTTGTAACGGGTAGCCCTGCTAAATTTGCATAATGGTGTAGAGTATCATAAAGTCGGCCCACCCGACTTTTGACCTTTCTTTACTGGTTTGATCTTGTTGCTTTGAAATGTTTGAGGGTATTTTAAGTTCAAAATGGATACTACGGCCTATGATAGAAAATTGTCTGTGCAGGTCATCAGAGTAGTTTCAAATTACGTCCTTAGAGTTCGTAATGGGAACTACAGTCTGTGACAAAAAATTGTCTATGCAGGTCCAGATCTTCGTATATACACCATATATCATTATCTCCCTATATTCGGTATTTTGACGATTTTAGGTACAATACGCACCGAATTGTTTGAGATGTCGTATTTGAGGTTCGTAATGGGTGCTACAGCCTAAGACAGCCAGGTCTTCATATTGCTCCGATATAACGGTACCTCCCTATATTCAAAGTTTATTTCAAGTTTCGAATTTGAATATGGTAATGGCTTATGACAAACAAAGTCTATGTAGTCTACGTCATATAGACCCCAATATAACGGATATATTCTGCATTTTTAAGATTTCAACATAATTTTTAACCGATTTTATTTTTTGAAAATTTCCAAATGGTGGAGAGGATTTAAAGTTCGACCCGGCAAAATTTACTGCTTTTTAACTTGTTTATTTATTATTATTATTTTTTTTTTTTTTTTTGAATATACAATAAATAATGTTAAAAAATTGCAACGTGGCCTATAAACCCTCAGCCCTACGAGGGCATATAAATAGAGCTATGTTATCGTTTTGATTGGAAAAGAGTGTCTCCTAAAATCCGACCTAGCGTACACAAATATTCAACTTCCCCGCTGTGATAAAATGTTTTGTACGGCTTTATTACCCAAATATGCCGGGTTCATATCCTAAAATCCACCAAATGATAACATATTATCCTATTACAAAAATTTACATTTTTTTATTAACAATTTCTATTTTCACAAAAAATTCATTTTTCAATTGTCAATGTTGAGATTGTTAAATGTTGCAATCTCGTACCCTAGAAGTATTTCGGTAGTATACATATAAATACATGTGTTTAACTTCTGTGGTGAAAAACGTAATCGGTGTGCTTCAAATTTTCGTCTTTTTTAACTGATGTTAATCTTTAAATTTAAAAATGTAAAATCGATTAGATTCGTTTTCGCCAAATTTCCCATTCTAGCTCGATTTGACAATGTATGTCTGTCTCTCCGCAATTTAACATTTTGCCAATCTGTAATTACATATTTTGGTTCTCCTTTGACGTTTCCCAGATTCTCGGTAACTGGAACTATTTCGTATTACTGCCAAAATACTTTTTCATATCTTATCGAAAGAGATTTCGCCCATCGAAAATATTATGTGTTCAGAGTTTTTGTCAGTTTTACACAGATCCATACCAAAGCCAGTTTATGGTGTCATAAGTGATTATGTTTTCAATTTGTTATAAAAATTATGGAACGCATTTTTACAACATGATAATTATAGGTTAGACGTGAATAATGAATTACCGAAACACATTATATATTCTATGATCTATCACACCGATTGGTGGGTGACCCTTTCGTTTATTAATTCCAGTTATAAATAATACTGATTAATGACAATTTGAAATATGCTCATCTAAATAATAGACAAAATTCTAAGAATTGTAGAAATCTCAAAATGTTTAAAACAAAAACATAACAAATTCTCTGTCGCCGGAAATTATAATCTCTTTCGGTGGGAGTATTCAAAGAAATACACAAATGGCAGAGTATAGTTTGGACACGCTTATGTCTTTAATTGCCCGTCTGTACACAGTGGTTACAAATGAAGACCTGATGCGTGATGTACCAGATATAGTTAACCGAATTATTCCAATTTCATATGGGCAAAAATTACAAGAAAATCCGACAATTTATCCAATTTTTACGAAATCATAAATTTCACATTCATCTGAGGTTTTTGTTAGAGAGAAATGTTTGGAGGGTGAGATGAAAAAACTGCAACCAATTTAAGACTGCTGTCCTTTCCAAGCCACTCCTCCAAGAGCTGTTAAAATTATTCCTGTGACACCTCATAAAAGTGTTTAGAAGCGTACGAAAGCATTTTCCAGAAAAAAAGTTATTCGTGATGGCATTCAAGAGTGATATCTTTAAATTTGGCTGAAAAACCACAAGTGGCTATCGTTAGAGCACTAAATAAATTTTTTGTGTCTCGTGCCATCGCTCGTTACCCTGATACTGGTAGCGTAGCCCGACGGGCGGAATAAAACATCAAGATCAGCAGAAATGGTTCGAAAAGTAAAGAAGTGACTTGGTCGAAACCCGCGTCGCAATGACCGAAAAATGGATCGTGAGCTGAACATATCGCAATATTCCATTCGGCAAATATTGAAAAATGAGCTCGGGGTAAAGCCATTGAAATTCCAAAAAGTGCAAGAACTTACTCAGCAACAGAAAGAAAATAGACTCAAAAGACCTAAAGAGTTGCTTCGCTTGGCCGAAAGTGGTGAACTGCTGAATTTGGTTTCCTCCGATGAGAAAACATTCGTTGTTTGTAAACAAACAAAATGATCGTGTTTACTTGCCAAAGTGGTCAGCTGAAAATGTGCACCTTCGGTTGGCCACCAAGTGCCGGACATGGTGAGCTCACCGCTAGTATTTTTCGACCGTGGCATCAGAATAAATGCCGAATATTATCCCGAAAGTATTCTGGAGGAAGTATGAAAGCTTTGGGCACAGATAAAATTACTGAAAATTGTGACCCTTTGTGGGTGAGATACCAGAAGGGGTACGCAGGTATATATTTTCTTCACAGCAGATCTTGCGTGGGCAAAAATGTTTGCATGTGTGAAATTTGAAGAGAGTTGGATGCTTATTTTTGAGCTTGTTTTTCTAATTCTAGAACCATGTGTGATTGAGCTACAAGAAGAAATTGTCCGATCTCTACCATCTTTATAACAGGCCTTGCGTTAATAGAAGTATTGAGATATGGCAAGTTGGAATAGAATCGGATATTAATTTTGCGTCTTATAAGCTTCGTGGATATTCAAACTGTTGACCGTTTGTGTGGAAGGTAACACAAGGAGTGGACCGAAATATTCTATCTTCACACCAGATCATGGGTTAAAAAAACATTGTGATGTGTGTAATTTCAAGACAATCGGACTCTAACATCACATTCTATAACAGTTATAATTATTCTAAACTTTGGCCTTGATGGAGTGGACTGACATTGTCCGTTATTGCACCTAACCTAGCACTTATGGATTTATTAGAATTTGAGAAGTTGGAGCAAAATCGGATTATCTTTTCTCCTTCTGTGCAGTAAAATATGTTCTTGGAAAATGTCGAATTTTTTGAGGGAGGTACAGGATGGGATTGGCCGCTATTGCCCGTCTACCAACTTGATCTAAGTTTGATAATAGTATTACGGTGTACCATGTTGGGGCCAAATCGGATACTCCCCTCGTGAGTTATCGTCCGCACCAGCCAAACTGACAGACTAGATCGACTCCAAATGTCCTGAAACTGATTTGTTCCAAAGATACCTAATGTCTAAAACCGTTATTTCGATGACATTCTGGCTATATTCAATGATATATACCTCCTCTTGCCATATGGCTGAGATTATAAAAAAATCGATTTACAACCTCCAAAATCAACATAAGTGTTAATCCGATGCTCACAAAAATTCTGTTGCAGACCAGGCCTAATTTGTCCATAATATTTAATACAATTTTTCAATTTCTTAATCACTGTGATGCCCCATAGTTTGAGCATTGTAGACACGTTCCATTGTGCTATAACCGGTTATTTCCAGAATCGGAGGGCACATCACTTTGTTTCGGAAATCAATAAAGCTCAAATACAATGACTTGTTGTTGCAAGCCCCCTATTTACATTTGCTAATTAACTTAATCTCTTATCACAATGAGACGAGAGCAGCGCCAACAGGTTGGTAGTTAAAACAAGAACACCCTGGCTCAAAAAACAATTTGAAAATGTCTATAAAGACAACTAACAAACGAAATTAACAAATTATTTGATTTTAGCTTCCGAACAGTAGAGACAAGGGCTAGAATTCCAAATACATACTAAACATGAGGGCTATATATATACTGGCATTTCTACTCTTGGCCTTGCTTTGTGTTCAGGCCAGTGGTAAGTTTGAATCTGATTTACAACCGAAACATATTAAACAGTTCTTTTGTTTGTTTCTTAAATAGGCAAGAGCATGGGAGATAAATCCAAAGAACCCAAAAATGATATGATGATGAAGCCAGAGGATGCTGATGCTGAAGAGGATGAGGATATGATGGAACAGCCATCAACCACAACTAAAAAACCAAAGAAATCTAAATCCACAACCACCACAACCACTGAAGCCCCGAATGAGGATGAAGAAAGCGATGATGAAGATGAAAAAGAAGATGAGAAAATGCCATCATCGACCACCACCAAAGAACCAAAGAAGACTACAACAACCACCACCACCACAACACCTAAGCCCAAAAAGAAGACCACCACAACCAAAAAACCCAAGGATGAGAATACAGCTGCCGAAGAGAAAGACGATGGTGAAGAAGAAAACACCGATGATGATGACGATGAAGAGGAAGATGATGAGGAAGAAGATCCCATGGATATGATGTCCAGCACCACAACTACCACCAAAAAACCTAAAAACTCCAAAGCAACTACCACTGCCAAACCTGACGAAAAGAAAAACAAGGATGACTCCAGCACCACCACCACCACTACAACACCCAAGCCAGATCAAACTGAAGAGGATATCAAAACGGTTTTGGAACAATGTAAAAAATTGAGAGCTAAAAAGAAGAAAAGCTCCGAAGAGGACAGTTCCGAGGAGAAGAAACGTCGTGGTGTCAGACCAAAAAAATTGAAAAAACTCTGCAAAGAATTGGAACGTAAAACGGCCGAAAAAGATGAGCAGAAAATAAAGGATGCCATTGCTAGGTTGGCTGGCGATGACAAAGACTCTGCACCACCCATGTTGTCAGATGTCATTAAACGTTTGGAAGAACGTTTGCGTGGCCATGGCGGACGTCGCCACCATCACCGTCATCATTAGATGGGATTGCGTTGTATTTAAGTTAATTGCGTTTTATGTGATTTTAAAATAATTATATTTAAATATAAATGGTTGTGAGGCTCTATTAAATTTTCAAACTCAAATATTGAGTATCTGTATTCGGCAGGAATATTGTACTCAAAATTAGATACTAGATTAAAATAAATACGTATGCTACCAGGCATGGTTATAATGTACAAACTTCTTTCATTATTTAGAAAAACAGATAGTAATATTTATTTTAGTATGACGTACAGGACTGAGAACATACTTGTAAGTCTACAAAAATTAACAAGTAAAAAAAGGTAAGTTCGGCGGGCCGAAATTTTTATACCATCCATCAGTCGGAACTTGAAACATTTCTAAAAAAAATCCGTCGAAAAATACCGCTCAAATATGGGGGCTATACGAAGACGTGGTGCTGGATAGGTAATTGTTTGTCATAGGCTGTAGTTACGATTCCGAACTTCAAATACGAAATTCGAAACAATTCTACTTTAAAATCGGTCTAAATTAATTTAAATGACGAATATCCGGATCCACCAATGTATGGGGCTATACGACATCGTGAACCTATATAGAAAGTACTCTTTCATGGGGTAAAGAACTCAAAGAAAACTGTTTCTGTAAAATTTCAAACAATGGCATTGAAAAATGTGACTACAATCATTAAAATAGCGAATGTCGGGAGGCACGATGTCGTGTACCGATATAGCCCATCTGCCAACTTGACCTGCACAAAAGACAGATCTGTGTTCGTTTGGATTCTAATTCGAAATACGTTCATATTTCAATCTTATCATAAGAAACCAATTCCATTCAGGACTCAGCACCATCGCACTCAGCACGCGCCACCCAAGAATGATTACAAAATGAGGTTCATCGCTTCATTTCCAGCGCAAAAAATCTCCGGATACCAATCCGTTGGACTATTGCGTCTGGAGTATTTTGAGAAGCAAGGTTGGCACTAAAAAATACCAAAATGTCGATCACCTCAAGCAAGCGCTTGGCCGGGAATGGGCCAAAATACCGCAGAGCAACATTCGGGCAGCGTGTGACGGTTTCATTGGCCGTTTGATGGCCATAATTCGTGCCAAAGGTGACCAATTCGAACAAATCTAAACTTATTCTAAAATGTGATGCAATTTCCGACAGCTTTCGCTTTCATTCAATAAAATTTAAAAAAAAAAATGTTAAAATGTGACGAATTGGTTCTTTTTTGGTGCAACGCCTCTCCAATGCATGTCCGCGGGTTTTCACACAACTCCTTTAAAGGGGAAAACATTTTTGTGAAATTAGTAGTGATTTTTTTTTTTTTAACTTCTTACAGCCCAATATTTTTGTCAATAAGAAAAGCATCGGAAATAATTCTAACGGGTTGGCTTATCAGAAAGAGTGGGCTGAAATTTTTTATTTTCACACCTGAAAAATATTAGGATATGCACAGATTGGATTTCGTCGAGGAAACCGCTCCTAATTCATTGGTAGTTGAATTTGTATGCCTCAGTTTAAGTTTAAATATGGTCTCTATATGTGCAATTTTTTTATTTTCGGTATTTTGATAAAATTTTCAACAAACTTAGCTATAATTTTCATTTTCGGTCTCTTAGCGGGTAGTTCAACTCTCTTCATGAAATATTCTATATATTTCCACTGTGCCTTGAGATTTTCGGTATTTTAAAGGCTTAGAAAACAAATCGCCAATCGATATGACAAGCAACTCTTCAGTAAACCCTTCCACAAAAAAATATTAAGTGTATGCACATTATTTTTAGTCTAGCCCTCAAATTGCCGAACCCAGTTTTCCGAGAGATGCAAATAATGCATACAATAAGGGTTTAATATCAATCCAAATTTGAACATAGGCTATATTTTGGAGGTCCTAGATACAGTTACAACCTGGTGCTATTTGAAATTTTGAAATCTTAAAACGTAGAATGCCTTCTCTTAAAATATTTTCTGAATGTTAAAAAAAAACAAAAAACGCATAACATCGCTTAGTCCAATTTTGGCATAACCATTCCAACGTTTTGGCCGATATCTCTCGAATAAATGCTTCAATGTTGTCTTTCAATGCGTCTTATCTTTATAGGCATGAGCTTTAACTTAGGCCCACAAAAAATATTCTAAAGGCACGATCTTGGCGGCCAATCGACCGGTCCCGAACATAAAGTTAAAAAATCCCCGAACTTGCCTCTAAACAGATTTTTTTGAAATTTATTTTTTATATTTTTGCTTTTAAGAAATTTTGAATGTACTTTAACCAACATATTATTTTCAGCGCTGCTGAGAGCTCGTAAATATCAGTTTAATGCCTGTATATTGTACAACTGATTACTAATCTGTCGACCATGAACAATCAATAATAAAAATGATGTTAATTTTAAAATTTCAATTTCGGTTAAAAAAAAAAAAAAACTTTGTGAAACTGATCAGAGCTTTTAACATTAAAAGCTTATACATGTGTCAAGCAATAGTCGTGGTGGACAAATCATAGTCCACAGCTTTCCATCGCAACATGTCTGTTTTACTAGTTTGAGGTCACCAAGAATTTAAGATTCGACATTAACGAGCGTTGACCTACCAAAGACGAACACAAACAGCATCATGATTAGCCAGATATCAAAAAAGAGGCAAAAGAAAAACCACAATAACACAATAACCGAATATGGATATTGTGTTCGTTTGTTTGTTTGTCAGTAAATTCCAAAACATTTTATGGGACAGTGGGAAAAGATTTTTTTGAGAATGCAAATGAAACATATGTATGTAGATATGTAGGCATGTATGTATATGTGTGGATGCCAACTGCTATTAATATATATTTATTAAAAAAAAAAAAAAAAACAACATTTTACATTGCACATTATGCACAAATAGGAACAAATATAAAAATACATAGCATGCCCTAAGATTTGGTATGAAATAAGTATGTCAGAGAAGATTTGAAGAAGATTCGAAAAAATAACCCCCTTCTTTTTGTGAGCCTTATTATACCCTACAACACTATGTGTAGGGCTAGCACAAAGCTAGAGTTTAGGGCTGGCAGGTTCCTACCAATTTGGATGGTCATCACATACTATTCAGCATCGGAAATAGACCATAACTTTTATGTAAAAAAATTAGAAAACGTCCATTAAACCGCGAATATTCTTATTTGCAGCGAAATAACAAATACACGAAAATGCCACTTCTGAGCGTTACATTGATGTTGATATGCAAATCTGCAACCAAATTCAGACTTGTAAACAAACAAAATTATCATGTTCACTTGCCAAAGAGGTCAGCTGAAAATATGCACCTTCGGTTGGGCACCAGAACTCAAGCGCCGGCCATGGTCGCTATCGCTCGTTTTAATCGACCATGGCATTAGAATGAATGCCGAATATTATCGCGAAATTATTCTGCAGGGTGTATTAAAGCCTTGGGCACGCAAACATTTTGGCCGGAGACATTGGAAATTCTAACAGGATTCAGCACCATCACAATCAGCACGCCCCACCCAAGAATGGTTAAAAAATTAGGTTTCTCGCTTTTCCGGATACCAAGACGTTGGACTATTGTGTCTGGAGTATTCTGGAAAGCAAAGTGGGAACTAAAACATACCAAATTGTCGATCACCTCAAGCAAGCGCTTCACCGGGAATGGGCCAAAATACCACAGAGCAACATTCGCGCCGGGAATGGGCCAAAATACCACAGAGCAACATTCGGGCAGCGTGTGACGGTTTTATTGGCCGTTTAAAGGCCATAATTCGGGCCAAAGATAACAAATTCGAACAAATCTAAACTTATTCTAAAATTTACTGATATTTCCACCATATTTTGCTTTCATTCAATAAAATTTAAAAAAAAAATTAAAAAAGCTGTAAGTTCGGCAGGGCCGAACTTTGAATATCCTCCACCATTTGGTACAAATTTGGCAATTTAAAAAAAAAATCCTTTAAAAATTCTGTTAAAATCTTAAAAATACCGAACGAAGCCATATATTAGGGTCTGTACGACGAATGGACTTGCATAGGAAACTTTTGTCAGAAGCTATTACAATATTCAAATTCGAAACTTGAAAAAATATTGTAGCTAAAATCATTAAAAAATTCCGAATATAGGAAAAACCATGAGAGTTGTAAAACGTGGACCTGCACAGACAATTTTTTGTCATAGGTTGTAGTATCCATTACGAACTTCAAATGCGAAAGTTGAAACAATTCAGTTATATGGGAGCTATACAAAGAAGTGGACCTACGTGACCATTTTCTGTTTTATGCTGTAGTGTCTATTACGAACTTCAAATACCAAATTTGAAACAATTCCGGTAAATAATGTCGCTAAAATCATCAGAATATCGAATATCGGGGGTACCGTTATATGGGGGCTATACGAAGAAGTGGACCTACATGGCCCATTTTCTGCTTTATGCTGTAGTATCTATGACGAACTTCAAATATAAAATTTGAAACAATTCCGGTAAATAATACCTAATATTTTCAATACCAAATTCCTGCAGACATAATACACATATGAGTAAAATTTTATGAACCTACTTCATTTCGTGCGGAAGCTAGAGTAATGTCCACTGACGGACAGACGGATAGACGGACGGACATTGATAAATCGACATAGAATTTTATGCTGATCAAGAATATATATACTATATGGGGTCTAAAAGGTATGTTTCGAAGTGTTACAAACGGAATGACAAACTTAATATACCCTCCATACTATGGTGGAGGGTATAGAAATGTAAAAATTATGGCGTTTGACATTGTTGCAGTTTTTTATCTCACCCTGTAAAAATAGAATACTGGTACTTCACGCATCTTTCTGAAAATTATCACAAATCTCATATAAAGAGAAGAAGGTAATATAGTCCAAACCTGGCACGTCGCAATATTAATTTAGATCCGGTACGAAATTAACAATAGTGGCCCATTTCTTCGGAATCAACTCTTTAGAGGGTCAACCATTTGTTTAATCATAACAGAAGTCAAAATAGGGCTCTGGGTGTACATATGTCGGCAAAACCGACTGATACTTGTTCTATAATTACTAGGTCTAGAATTATGTTTGTTATATCCCTCGCATAACTCAATGTGAAGTAAAAACTTCGAAAATAATAATTTTGTATCAGGCTTAAGCTAGTTAGAAAATATACCATATAAAACTTGTTAGATTTAATCAGATTTTTGAATGCCATCAATTTAAGCGGAAACTTCAAAAAGATACACACCTTCCTCTTTACAAAAATAAATTGAGTACAAAAATAATTATGTAAACTTTTTTATTTTTTAAACAAACCAACCAGCCAACAACAAAAACAAAAATCACTCTCTAAAATAATACACAACCAATATCCGATTTAGGAAATTTTGCCAATATTCGATTTTTTTTGCATTAATTGTGATGTGACAGTCAATATATTTCCAATAAAATATAAATCACAAAAATGATAATGAATGGAAACAGAAGCAGTGAAAGTTTTCACTGAAACTGAGTGATTTGTTCGTTATTAAACCAGGCAGTGTGAATGACAATGAGAGTTTTAAATATTTTAAATATAACACAATTACATTGCATTACATCATCGTCATCAACAAAATAATAATAATAATAATAACGAAATCAATATGACATAACTATACATTTTAATGTTCTGATTCAAATACATACAAACAAATTATATACCTACCTAGATACAATTAAAATTCTATTTAAAATTGGTTATTGTAAAAATGAAACACAGAAACGTAAACAACAACAGCATTGAATTAAATGTGTAAATGTGTGTGTGCACATACATATGAGAAATATACAATGTCAAAATGTTTACACATTCAGTTCTTCGAATTGAAAATCGGAATAATCATTTATTATTGTTACAGTTACACAAATAGGAACAACAACAATACCATCATCATCATCATACACATACACATATATAGGTAGGTATATTGAGTATCTCAAAGCAAAGCAAAACAATAACAACTCTCCATCAACAGATTTACAACAACTAATCAATTTCAACTTTAGACCCACCACCATTCATTCCACAAGCAAACCACAGCAGCTTCTTCTACTTACTACTTGCTGCTCAGCTCTGCCTGCTTTGCTTTGGGTGCTGATCATAATTTGACCAAGCAACAGCCATCAACATCATCATCGTCGTCGTCGAAATGTTACCAGCTGAACGAACAACACGTTCTTTGAACTTTCATAGTTTATGATGTCTTTGGGCGAAATTTCTTCTTTTCATCTCCTCTTTGGGTTGTTCATTCTGTTTTGTGCTTTACCTGTTGATTGTTTTTGCCTTTTGTATTTAACTTTTCATGGTCAAGCTGCTGGTTGAATAGAAAGCCAACTACGATGATTGGTGGTAATGTAAAATTGGGCATATTTTGGAGGCTTTGAGTGTACCCTACGATTTACGTGGAGTATGTATGGGATAAATAGGCATATTTATGTGCATGTCGCTAATTCACTCTTAGAGAGATATATTTTAAAACTTCCGCTTAAAATAAAGTAATTTTATCATTTAAAATTTGACTTCCAGAACTGATTTTCAAGCAAAATTGCCTATCCAAAAAATTGTCATTTTTCCGGAGCTCGTGCTGCCTGGCTACCTTGGTTATGAAGAGGTACCGGTATAGCTCGGCTGTTAGGAGGAATCTGACTAAAATTACTAGTTGATGCCGCTATAGTTACCACCTGCAAATGCCGTATTCTCCAGAGTAAGAGCGGATGAATGGATGGACGGACAAGGTTCAGTATGGCTAAGTTTGGATTATCCGGCTGGTACAGATACTTTGTGGGGTTTTAAATTGTTATTCCCATGAGTTAGAAACGGTGCCGAGTTTAGAGCAGGGTCGATCAAAAGGAGATCAGACAAATATAGACAGACAAATGTGAATTTTAGTAAGGAATAAGCGAATTATACATTCAACCTATTTGTTATGCTTCAAGTGTGCAATAAAATAGCCCTTGGTAGAAGAATAGAGGTAGCTTTATGAGCCCTGTGAACATTGATATCTAAGTACCATTAGGCAAAGACAAAGGCGAGCGTTGCTGGGTTTATGATACCCAACGCCACAGTGAATAGAATAATATTTTGTAACAAATACATTTTATGGGCAATATCTAACTCAATTTCCCCTAATTTAAACTGAGGTACATTTATTTTGTATGTCACCTCTCGTTTCAAATATAATTGCCATAGACTGCATGTTGTGACTTTCAGAACATGATATAAAATCGAATGAAACAAACTAATTATAAAAGCATTTTGTATGTGAAACGATCTTGACAAAACTTGGCAAATGCATTTCTGGGATGTATCTGATATCTTTCACAGAAAATCGTTATGGAAGCTATACTACGATTTTAGGTAACATACAGGGTAAGATAAAAAAAAAAAAACAATGAATCGAGGAACCTCATTTTATAACCATTTTTGGGTGGCGCGTGCTAAGTGCGATGGTGCTGAGTCCTGTTGGAATGTCCAAGGTCTGCGGGTCAAAATGTTTGCGTGCCCAAGGCTTTAATACACCCTCCAGAATATTTTCGCGATAATATTCGGAATTTATTCTGATGCCACTGTCGATTAATACGAGCGGAGAGCGACCATCGGCTGTTATGGCGGCCCACCCCATCACCATGGTCGGCGCTTGAGTTCTGGTGGCCAACAGAAGGTGCACATTTTCAGCTGACCTCTTTGGAAAGTACACACGATCATTTTGTTTGTTTACAAACTGCTGCTGAATTTTCGGCCAAGCGAAGCAACTCTTTAACTCTTTTGAGTCTATTTTCTTTCTGCTGCTGTGTAAGTTCATGCACTTTTTGGAATTTCAATGGAATTGTCTTAAAATCCACAAAAGGATTTCCTTGTGAGTACATTAAACCTAATATCATATATCGCCTATACAATGGTTCTTCCCAATATTCGGTATTGTGTAATTTATTCCCAAGAAGAGAATTATCTATATAGATCCACGATATCATATAGCCCCCATTAAAAAATTTGTCTGAAATCAAATACCGAATATTGGGAATTGTTTTGAAATCCAGTACTCAGATGGAAGAATTGTCAAAATAGGTCCACGTTTAAGTATAGAGCCTATATAACGTTATTCGTTATTCTCATGATTTTTGCGTTATTATTCACCGGGATTGTTTCAAATTTCCTATATAAAGTTTTGAACCTTTACTACAGCTTATGTTATAAATAACTTATGCAGGATCACGTCTTCGTATAAAAGGTAATTCTCACGGATATTTTTCGAATTTTTCAAGTTTCTTCCAAATGGTGGATAGTATAAAAAGTTCGGTTTGCTGCTTTTTTACTTGTTTAATATAGCACTTCTTGAAGTCATATTATGCACTTCATAGCAAGGTTATTTGAAACGAGAGGTAGAAATACCTCCGTCAATTTGGTGGAAATCGATTAGAGCTTTCCAACTCTGAATCGATATCCCATTTATTAGTTCCCTCTGATTCGAAAAATTTTACTGCTCAAAAAAGTTTCATAATTGGTAGATCCACTTCACTTTATTTCCTAATATAAACGTTTATTTGTAACGGGTAGCCCTACTAAATATGCCTAGTGGTGCAGGGTATGATAAAGTCGGCCGCACCCAACTTTTGACCTTTCATTACTGGTTTCCTATTATTTCATACAAATGATACACAAACCATGCTATGTATGTCTAATTAGTTTTACAGTGATATGATTATTTTACGTATGATCCAACTCAATGTCAGTTCTCTATGGCAATTGTCTGCTTTAAGAGAGCTCCCACACAACATCAAATTTAGTGGAGATAGATTGAGATTAAGATATAGCTCCATCGGATTTCAAGGTTAACCGTTCTTTAGGCATTGAATAACTATCATAGTTGGTATAATTTCCAATATAAGCATACATTTGATAGGGATACATTTGCTAGTGGTGCAGGGTATAAAATTGTTCGGCCTCGTCCAGCGTATGTCTTTCCTACAAATTATATTTAAAAATAAAAATAAAAACAATCATTGCGACGTAACTCAGTGTTTCTTACACTCAGTGTCAGTTTGAAACGCAACTCTTTTATTTATTCTTTTAGTGAAATAAAGGTTTAAATTAAATTGAACGTTACTCAGCGAATTACAAAATTCATTCTTGTTTGTGTATCATTGCACATCAATATATCTAAACCATTGTTTTAATACCGGTATTTATTAAAATTGGAATTCCAAATATTTGTTGAGATTTAATGTCAATATAAACTGGCTATTCATCAACGAAAACCTCTACATCATTCAAACAGCTCGTTCAGTTGTCAATTATTTCTTCTGAGTTTGAAAATAATATTTATTCACATCAGCAAAAAACGGAATCTATTTTTAAAACAATTTTTCTTTCAGTTAAATTCTATAGATTTTTCCCTGTCACTCATGACCCAAACTTGACATGACTTGTTGTAGGGTAAAAAATTGGTCATCATTTATTTTCGCCGTTATTCCCAGCAATCGTTAATTCTTAATAGAATCGCGTAGTTCTGCTTTATTCACATTTTTTTTTTTAATTTTGAATATATTATTATTTTGACAACGGGGAGCTGCTGGCTCTTTCTCCAAGCCAATGAAATGTTTTGCGGCGTTTTTTTCTGTAACTCTTTGGCGTATTTTTCTGCGCACTTTCGGCCAGCGATAGGCAGAGACATGGGTGAACAGAGTTTATATAAGAACAACTAGAAAGTAAGACGCGCGTTTAGTTATTCACAAAATTTCACCCATCACGAACGTAGAGAGGTCAATTGGTCAAAAACCGGTCTAAAATGAAATTCTTTGCACTGCTGCTGTGTGCGGCGTTTATTGGTAGCTACGCTGCTGTAAATGGTAAATAACATCGAATTCTGAATAGTTCTTAAAATATGTGGTAGTTTAATTTAAAATAATTTTTTTTCAAAACTTCCAGCCAAAAGTTCCAACAATGAAAAACAAACTAAGACATCCGCCTCGACTGCTGTTATCAAACCCACAGAGGCTCCTTTGGTGACATCCACTGTGGCTCCCACCAAAGCTCCCAAAATTGCAGTTTCTCCCACCAAAGCTCCCAATGTAAAGGCCAATGCCAAGTCGAGCAATGCTGCCACGAAGACTACAACCAAAGCCATGGAACCAAAGCCTACCGCCCAAACTCCAAATACTGATGAAAAAGAGATGATGGAACCAAATCCCATCAACATGCCAGCCATGGATGGGGATATGTTGGAATTGCCCAAAGAGATTAAGCCCTTGGCTGTCACCGGTTTCATTACCCAAAATGGCAACATTTATGAAATTACTGACAAAGATGGTATTGGCAAAATTGAGGGCCGCCAAAATCCCGAGTCGCAAGATCACATTTGCAACTATGGATCCGTGGTAGTTTACAGTGATGTTCCCTGCGATGAAGTGACCAGTATTAAGATTAGCGAATTCAAACAACCCGCCAACAAAGACAAGGAAGAAGAAGAAGAGTCCAAGCCCCAGGAGGAAAACCCTGCCAATGGACAGGATCAAAATGCAAACAAAGATGAAACTAATGTTGGAAATAAAGATGAAAACAAAGATAAAGAAGATGAGGAAGAACAAGATGCCAACGAGGTGAGACCCGTTAGACGTCGCCCCAACAGCAAGAAACCCCGTAATAAGAACCGAAGACGCCAGCAAGCAAACAAACGCCGTAACGGTGCAAGACGCAAAAATCGTCCGGTCAGACGTCAAGGTCAAAATCAACGTCGCAGCCAAGATGAACAGGCCTTGGCCCAACAATACAGACGTCGTCAACAGCAAAAGAGACGCCGTGCCCAACAAGCCAATGGTGGCGTCCGTCGCCAGGGACAAAATCAACGTCGCCGCAATCGCGGTGGCAACAACAGACGTCAACAGGCCTACATTGATGACTACGATTATTTAGATTACAACCGTGGTCGTAGCTTTTAAGTGCCATGAATTGAAGGGAAATTTCTACGAAAATTTGAGAATGATTTAATTTATTTACGAATAAAAGAAAATGTGAAATGTTTACTGGGTCCTGGTGTTTTTTTAATGTTGACTGATTTTCAGAAAATTCGAGGTAAAACCAGCTAATGTCTTGATTGTGAAGAGGATATGATGATATAATATGAGAAATAATGATTTTCGATTCTTTAGCAAAATAAAACAATCAATATTGTTTAGGATTGAAGTAATGTGTATTGGGGCCTCGCATACGATTCTCTGCCGATTTATATATGCCAGTTTGTCTGTGGAAATCGCTGTAGATTCCAAAGGAAATGAAATAGGCCGAAAATATTTTAATTGAAAGTGTTGGGCCATGAAGGTCCATGGTTTAGTATAGCCCCCCAGACAACTGCCACCGCATTTTCTGGCAGGTAATTAGTTTTCTCCTAAGCGGCATATAACTGCAAAAGCTGCTATTAGTAATTATTAACATTTTTGCAGTATTTTTGAAGGAATTTTTTTAATTTTGCAATTTTCTTCAAAGGGTATTAACAGTTAGGCACGGCTTAGCTTTGCTGGTTTTTTACTTTTTATACCCTACAACACTATGTGTTGGGGGTATTATAAGTTTGATTGGGCCAAAAATTATGTAACACCTCGAAATATTGGTTTCCCACATAGGAAAGTATATATGGATCTTCCTATCTCGCCGAGCTGAGTCGATCTAGCAATGTATGTCCGCCCGTCCGTCTGTCCGTCTGTTCATGTTAATTTGTAATCACTCTACAGGTCGCAATTATGGCCCGATCTTCACGAAATTTAGAATGGAGGTGGGGTTAAGGTCAGAATAGAACCCTATTCCTTTTGGAGATGATCGCATAATATTTAGGGACCAAAAACTGAAAAAAATCCTGACATTGCAGTTGCTCTACAGGTTGCAATTATAGACCAATCGGCGCGGACGCGGAGCACGGGGCTAGAGCTTAAGGCTGGGCAGAAGCCTTCCAATTTTGATGGTCATCGGGTAATATTTAGTGGGTGAAATAGACTATAACATTTGTGATAAATAAAAGTCAAATTTTCAAACAGGTCAATCCTGACTGTTACGTAGATGCCGATGGTAAATATATCGGATATATATAGCGATATTTATACAATACATATACACAAAGGAAGGGGATGTTAGCTAGAACGCTTATATCTCAAGAATGGCTGAACCGATTTTGACAAATTTTGTCAATTCAGAATACCCTATTGGCATAAAAGTATAAAATCTACAAAAATCGCATAAAAAGATGCTAATAATGATGTTAATATAGATTTTGTAGTGTTATGTGTTGAAGTGTACATTTTGTATTTTTTTCACCTTACAACACGGGTTGGGGTTATTATACAGATTGCAATTATCGTCCGATCTTCACGAAAATATTGTTTTCAAAGATGACCGCAATATATTTTGGGGTTAAAATGGACCAACCACTAAAAATGTTCCTGATTTTGAAGCCGTTATAAGGTTGCAAATAGAAACAAAAGGACATGAAATCTAGCATGTAGTTAGAGTTTAGGACAGCGGCTAGAATGGGCCACTACTTTTGTGTCCAAAAAACACCAATATTACTTACAAGCGATATCCGAAATACACAAAAGGCGAATTTCTGGCTTTTTTATGCTGATTTCGTTGACGAACATAGCCAAATATCATAGACAAGCATATCATATAGATGGATCTAAATTTGGAGATACAGAGGGGCTTCGTGCTTTTGGAGATGATTGCAAAATATTTAGGGCTTCAAATGAACCAAAAACAGAAATGTTTCTCCGATCACACAACTGAAGCCAATCGACATGCCTGTGAAGAGAGTTAAGGACAGGAAGAATTCTAGCATTTTGGATGACCATTGGATTATATTTAGCTGTAAAATTGACCACAACGACCAACAGCACGACGGAGTGCGTAAATATTGGGCAAATGTCCCTGGTCAAAATGCTAAGAGTAATACCTGTGCACTGCTCCGTGACAAAATTTCAAAAGCGAAATATTGAAGTGTTGTAGGGTATCACATGGTCGGCCCCGCACGACTATAGACTTTGCTTACTTGTTTTAGTAGTAGATTTTTTCATAAGGAATTTAATCAAATTTAAAATATATCAAATATGCCCAGCAATCCCAATATTTGCAGGGTAAGTTGAAAAAACTGCAACCAAATTCAGACTGCTGTCATTTCTAAGCCACTCTTCCAACAGCTGTTAAAATTATTCCACTGATAGCTCATTATAATGTTTACAAGCGTACAAAAGCATGTTGGTGAGAATTTTCCAGAAGAAATGTTATTCGTGATGGAATTCCAGCGTGATAGTGAGATTTCTTTATATTTGGCTGGAAACGCACAGGTGGCTATTGTTGGAGCACTCCAGCATTTAAATGTGAATAAATCTTTTGCGCGTAGCCTGACGTCAAGGAAGTGGACGGAAGAAAACAGGAACGTCCGCAGAAATGTTTTGAAAAGTAAAGAAACGACTTGATCGAAACCAGCGTCGCAGTGACCGAAAAATGTTGAACTGTTGAATTTGGTTTTCTCCGATGAAAAAACACTCCTTTTCTAACAGTTTGTTAAGGAACAAAATTATAGTTTTTACTTGCCAAAGAGATCAGCTGAAAATGTGAACCTTCGGTTGGCCACCACATGGTGATGGTGTGGGCCGCCATAACAGCCGATGGTCGCTCTCCGCTCGTATTAATCGACCGTGGCATCAGAATAAATGACGAATATTATTGCGAAAATATTCTGTAGGGTGTATTAAAGCCTTGGGCACCCCAACATTTTTGCCGCAGAGCTTAGACATTCCAGCAGGACTGGTTATATAACGAGGTATGATTATAAAATGAGGTTCCTCGTTTCATTTGCAGCTCACAATGACCACCAAAATCTTCGGATACCAATCCGTTGGACTATTGTGCCTGGAGTATTTTGGAAAGATAGGTTGGCACTAAAAAATACCAAAGTGTTGATCACCTCAAGCAAGCGCTTCGCCGGGAAAAATCGCCGGGGCCAAAATACTGCAGAGCAACATTCGGGCAGCTTGTGACGGTTTCATTGGCCGTTTGAAGGCCATAAATCGTACCAAAGGTGACCAATTCGAACAAATCTAAAGTTATTCTAAAATTTGATGCTATTTCCGATATTTTTTGCTTTCATTCAATAAAATTTAAAAAAAATTAATAATTATGACATTTGACTATGTTGCAGTTTTTTTTATCTCACTCTATTTATCTAATATTAGAAAAAATATTGGGAGTTGTGAAGTTAAAAGCAAATCGAATGCTCTATTCTCCAAATAAGGGTTTTTAGATAAGGCGCATTTTGGCTGTGTTAAATGAAATAAACCCTTTGTATATTAATGTTGAGGATTAAACAGTGTACGCGATGTCGATGAACAATCAGGGAAGTGGATGTCGAGTATAGACACAAAATTAGGGCTGAATTCCTACATTATTAAATTGTTCTACTTAAGCCTGTTGAGGTACAATTATTTTCAATTCTATCACATTTCATGTTTTTGCTTTGTTTCATATGGAATAACCCAATATCGTCCACGTACAGGTTAAAGGTTATTTGGCTCATCAGACTACCAAATTTGTTGAGAATGGATACAACACCGTGATCAAATATCTGCCAACAAAGAATCTATGTAACATCTCAGCGATGCAATATTGCAACAGTTTCCAATTTCAACTTTTAAAACTTTTAATGATTTTTTTATACCCTCCACCATACTATGGAGGGTATATTAATTTTGTCAGTCCTATTGTAACTCCTCGATATACTTATGTCAGACCCAACAAAGTATATATATTCTTGATCAGCGTAAAATTCTATGACGATTTAACTATGTCCGCCTGCCTGTCCGTCTGTCTCTTGTAATCTCGCTATCTTTCGAACAAATTGAGATAGAAGGTTAAAATTTTGCACACATGTATATTTTGCCAGTAGGCAGGTTAAGTTCGTAAATGGGCCATGTAGGCCCAAGTTATCATATAGCCCCCATATAACGGTACCTCCCGATATTCGGTATATTGATGAATTTAGCGACATTATTCACCGGAATTGTTTCAAATTTGGCATTTGAAGTTCGCCATGGATACTACATCCTAAGACAGAAAATGAGCCATGTAGGTCCTCGTCTTCGTACAGCCCCCATACAATGGTACCTCCCGATATTGGGTATTCTGATGATTTTAGTGACATTATTTACTGGAACTATTTCAAATTTTGTATTTGAAGTTCGCAATCAATACTACAGCCTATGACAGAAAATTGTCTGTGCAGGTCCACGTCTTCGTATAGCCCCCATATAACGGTACCCCCCGATATTCGGTATTTTGATGATTTTAGCGACATTATTTACATTATTGTTTCAAATTTCGCATGGGAAGTTCGTAATGTATACTTCAGCCTATGCCAGAAAATTGTCTGTGCAGGTCCACGTCTTCGTATAGCCCCCTATAACGGTACTCCCTATATTCGGTACTTTGATGATTTTAGCTACATTATAAACAGAGTTTTCTTCAAGTTTCCAATTTGAAGAAAACAATAACTTATGATAAAAGTTATGTTTTTTTGTTTTTTTTTTTTCATCAAAGTCAAATATTCACAATTAATTTGATTAAATGTTTATTCTGCAATTACCTCTTAAACAGTCAGCCCACTGCACTCTAAGACCCAAAATATGAACTTTAAATTAAATAAATAAACACTCGCTTTCTAATGAAAACTTGCACTATTAACAAGTATTTATGAATAATCTTATTCAACTTTGTCGGGATCGTCGATATAATAATTTCCATGGCGATATTTCCATTAAAATTAAACTAAATTAATATTTGGAGGGCTTTATCTTTAGGTCAATAATATCATTTTTATGCTTTGATATTTGTATTTTTTTCATTTGCCGGTTAAAGTCGGATATTGATCCTTTGCTATTTCAAATGGCTACTCCATTAAGAGAAGCTACAGCATATTTTTCCATTATCAACCACATATCATTTAGCAGCTGTAAATC